GTTTTTTTCATTTCACTGTCATGAACAGTTTTGTATTCTGACATCAGCTGACTTCTGAATACAAAGAGAACACGGCAAAATTAAGAATTTAATTTGAACCAATCATGTTGCGTGGATGTCCAAAGTGGGCGTCGCTGTAGCCAAGGCAGACTCCCCCATTAGTCAGGGCAATGAGGTCAACGTTCTGGTTGGCTGGGACAGACGACCAGTCCCTCTGCCCGATACCAAACACCCTCAGTCTGGCTATTCCTCCATCTGGAAAATAATAAAAACTATTTTAATGTGTGATCAATCTTCCTTAAAAGAGCAATTAATTCAGAGGATGTTGCCATAAACAAACCGGTCTCTGTCAGGATTATTGGAGCCTGTGTTTTTAGGAGATGATTTACCTGGAAACATGTTGAGGCGCAGGTGTGTGACTCTCCTCTTGGGGCTGACCCTGAAGTAGTTGTGACAAGAGTCTGAGTATCCAGGCTGCAGCTGGGAAACGCTCACCAGCTCTGGCCAAGCCTCCGAGCTCAGCTGTCGATCATAAAAACCATCAAACCTTATCCATCAGTAAGACCATATAATGTCAGCCCCGAGTTCCATTAAACAAAGGTCACGGATCACCATCGTGACATGTTTTTGGTCTATAATACCAACATGACAATCACCGCTCTGACATCACATGCCCAGTTACCTTGGAAACAGCAGCTTGCTGAGTTTCAGTGGCGGCCATGCCGGTCCGATCTTCCCCAGGGGTGAAGGAGGGCAGCTCACCTGGTCAGGATGAGGTGTTTAACGCACACATTCACACTCTTAAACACCAGCTCAATATAAGGAAGTAAAGGAAGGGCGATGCCTTCAGGTTCAGTAAAGAACGAAGATAATGACAAAGAGGTTGGTACCGAGACAGGCGGCTTGGATGGAGACATATGGCGCATGGTTTCCTGTGAAGAAAGATGTGTCGACATCAACTCCATAAATCAGACCAGGTACGCCAAGTTGAATGATGCACCAGTCGTGACCTTTAGTGAGAAATAAGACAAAAAACAAGATTTTGGTCATTTGGAGGATGTTAATTAATTCCAATAATTACCTTTCAGATTTAACAACCATCTCCTCTCTACCGCAGATTCAACCAGGGGCGGATTTAGAAAATTTGGTTCCATAGGTAAAGACAGGCAGGGGGCCCTCTGAATTGAGAAGACAACACATCAAACAGACCCATTCTATAGATAGAGAATGTTAATAGAATAGACATCCATTATCTGTTCTAGGTTTTGTCCCTCTCTTCTTGTTTTCCTCTCTATGTTTTGTACTCAGCTGATTTTTTGTTAGGAATCCAGTTTGTGTGGGTTGTGTTTTTGTGTTTTCTCCCTCCACCACCAGGTGGCGTCCGGTTCTCACTGGCCCTTCCACAAAACCTGCGGATGGTTGCCTCACTACCTGAAGACTCTTAAGCTGCTGACTGCCTCTACCTCGACGCCAGAGTGTTTGCCAGTTTTGGGTACTCTAGCCAAGCTGGGTTTAGCAGAGTCTAACTGAGTCTTTGTCTTCCTGAGCCCTAACCTTATTGGGATTTTTTTGTCTTTTGCCTTTCAACAGGAAGGCATCCAGCAAATTGGATGTTTTGGCCTTCTCCCCCTGGAAGGAACGTTTAAGCTTCACACTGAGCAGGGG